ATGCCTCGTCGACTGGAAGGAAATCCTTCCAGCCGACGAGGTACATGTACCTTGTCGGCCGGAAGAAACCCCTTCCGGTCAACGAGGTACATGTACCTCGTCGACTGGAAGGATTTCCTTCCAGCCGGTCCCTTGCCGGCCGTTTCAAGGGCGGGTATCCTAGGATACCCGCTCGGATACCCGCTGCGGCCGACGGATACCCGCCAGCGGGTGCGGGTGCGGATGCGGATGCCTAGATGGCCGGAAAAAGCAGCCGGATATCCGCATCCGCGCGGATATCCGGATGCAAATCACCCATCTCTACTCATATATCTAGTGAATATCAATCTTATATTTACAAAGTCATGCAGAAATTCAAGGGTGAGATTTCTGGGTATATTTGCCTGCAAAAATGTGCCAGGTACCTGCAGGTACCCGGGTACCCGCCCTGGCTGCCCTAGCAGGTGCGGGTGCGGGTGCGGGTGTCAAAAATATTGGATTTTTGAGGCAGGTACCCGCACCCGCTACAGGTACCCGGGTATCGAGCGACATCTCTAATACTCGATAAGAGTCAGCCGTGTACTTACTGTGTTGGTAGTTTACCAGTTAATCTAAATTCCTGTTCTTGTGAGGTATAATCTTTCCTTTTTATTTCATTATCATTCTTGTTTCTTGATTTTTATTTAACTGGAATTTATATTCTTTTAAGCCCACAACCTTCTCAGCAATCCTTGAGCCCTATCTGAGGGGGTTTGGTGCCAATTGTGTACCCAGCCATTTGTTGATTTCAGTTTGTAAAAATGGATTGGCTTGCACTTGGCACCACCAACCCTACTCACATAGCCCGCGCTAAATGACAAGGGAGGATGGATTCAATCTAGATATTGGGGGATTGAATTCCAGATCTCCAGATGGGATGGGACTTGGGCACATGGATGTCCCTGAAATGTGGGAGTTGCTGTTCCAATTTTGGAAGTTGGTTGCCCAGGTCCCTAAATTTAACATATCATATTGCAAAACTGCAGCAATTCGACAATCAGAACAACAATGGGTGGCTAGAATTTTTGACCAAAAATCATTGGCATAGCAGCACTTTTTTAGGCAGTAATTGTGAATTGTTAGCACACCCTTGGTGTGTTTTTGCTACTATATTCTGAGCTAAAATCTGCTAGCAGCCGCTTCAGGTCCAGAAAACTGCTAATCCACATTTTAGTGCAGCATAGCTGGCCATTATTTGGGGCCTACACATGAAGTGTTAGCACAGATTTGGAGGAGTTCTGCTACACTATGCTACTTTTCAGCAGAATTCCACTATGCTAATGCTACATTTAGCACAACTGGCCCATTGCTGATCAGAGAGTCTCACAAAATTTGGGTTTCTGCTCAGATTTCACTCAATGATTCAACAGTGACTTGAGCAAAAAAATCAATGGGCAGTTACCCTTCAGGATTGGTTTACTTTGGAAGACATTGCAAACATGACACAAATTACATTGGGAGTAACCTAACTGCATGTAACATGCTTCCAGTTTGGTGATATTCTTCCAGTACAAGGCCGAAATTTTTTTGGAAGAGGACAGAAACCACAATTCATCACAAACTTTTGACATATTTGAAACACAAAAAGAAGATTTTCATTTTTTTTTTTAGTTTTATAATTGGATTTTTTTCTTTCAGTTTTCAGAACCATTTTGGAGGAAATAGAGTGAGATATTTTCTTTGTTCAAAAAGAAACAAATCATTTTCAATAGGTATGAATTTGAAGATTCTTATTACCACTGAATGTTACTGGTGGGACTCTTGAGAATGTTTTCCAAACTTTCAAGTTGCTCCTTGGGAAGACAGGAATGATTATCAATTCCCCTTTTGTCTACCCTATCAACAAAAATGGACTTGAGGCTTTTCAAAATTTCCTGCTTGAAATAATTTATCATTTGAGATTGAGATCCTCCCAAGACATAAGCATGATTATGCAATATTTTGAATTTATCATCAATGAAATAGAAATATTCCTGATTTTTCATTGATTTGTAAAAGAACAATCGAATATTTTCAGGTTTTTGTAATTCAATTGAATCTTTGTTTGTATATCCAAATTCTTTGTTTGTATATCCCAATTCCCTTTTGTTATAAATACCATTAGATAGCAAAGAAGCACATTTCTTTCTACTGATGTCTGTAAGATATATCAAGTCACTTTGGTCTATTCCAATAGTTCCTTTCCCTTTGGGATCCAAAGCGAGTGATTGTAATATCTCACCACACTTTGAATATGTCTCTTTGAGCAAGTCAGACATTATCATTATTTGATCCTCGGCATCTTGGATCAAATTGAAATACTTCACTCCTTTCAACAAGGATTCATTTTCTTTTGAAATTCCTTCAATGTGATAATTCAGCAAAAACTTTAGCATGTTATGTGAAAGCTTCAAAGCCATCAGATCTTCTCTGTTTCTGGGTACAGTGATCATCAAGGGGATCAAGCTGGATTCCTCCAGAAAATGTTTGATATATCTGTCAAAGCTTAACTTGCTGCGATGTTTTCTGATAGAATGTGACGATGTGATTATCAGGAATTGATTTGTCAGCTGTTCTACTTGTCCCAAGTTATTCCTTCTTGGATTATGATTTTCAACTGATTTGACTTGAAGTGCTACATAAAAGCGTGCTATCTCTCTCTCACACCAGGTGGATTCTTCACCATTCACTGAATTGACTGTTGTAATGTATTGTTTCAAAAGAAATGAAAATTGGATAGTTGCAAAATATGAATCAGATCTCAAAAGCAAACCCTCATAATCAAAATTTCAGGAAAGCAAATTGTTATTTTTGACTTAAATTTCAATAAATGATGAAGGTCCTGAATGAATGGACTTTCCTTGAAGCTGAGACTGAAGTCAAAGTTTAAATAAAGGCTAGTCATTCCAACCCTTTGAGGGAATTTTCCCCAGATATAATATGAGAATATGTTTCCCCATTTCTCTTCATCCATTGAGTCCATTTTGGAAAGGAATTCCGGATCAATTACCATGTTGTACTTGCCTGAAGCAATCAGGAATTCAACTACAACATCATTCAAATAGAAAATTTTTGAAAAAAGTTTTTGAAGCTTTTGATGATCTCTTGGCAGTATTTCTTCTTTTTTCACCATGTCCCACAGATTTTTCAAACTCTTTGTGATTTCATATATATGAGAAGCCTCATTGCTCTGCTCTTGAGTTGGGAGAACATCATTTTCTGGCAGCTTCACTTCATGTGAACCTGTCTTGCTGTGTATATTCTCATGGAATTTGTTTGAAATAATGTGATCAATGTTACCCTGAATTGACAAAATTATACTCTGTAGTTCTACTTCTTTCTCTTTATTGTTGAAAATACCTGTGGTATCAACAAGACATGAATATAATAGCTTCCCAAACTGATTTGAAAGGTTTTCCTTCAGTGCTAATTAAAAAAAAAACAATTAGTCTCTGACAAACTTGAGGTAGACAAGAGAATGGCAAATTCATGTGGTCACTGGTATGCTTTGGGAACTTACTTATTGGATCTTCTACTCTTGTCAAATTTTCAATCAGGAATGTCAGGAAATTTTTTTTGAAAACCCACACATGATTGACTAATGAGTTTTTTCGTACCTATGCAAGTGGTCCATTTTTCCTGATCCTCTTGCCTCTTAAATATTGTGGAGCGCCCTGCAGATATGTCTGAAATTTTGTTGTCAGTTATGAGGAGTGCCTCCAAGAAATGACAACTCCATTCTTACTTTGACCAAGTTCCTTCACATTGTTGCCTGTTTTCATGGCTTGATTGAGGGCGTTTGAGGCATCTGGACAGATTATAATTTACTTTCACAGTGTCAGTTGGTGAAAGCCCATCTTAAGCATTGATGTGAGAGTCATGCTTCATACGCACCCTCCCTTGCGCCCCTCCAAATGTTGAACTGCACATTGCTGCAGTCCATCAAATCTTCGATTGTGATGAAACAGGCACTCTTCCCAACCAGGCCCAAATATAGGAAAAGCTTCAAAAGGCGAAGGGCGGATAAGCGCATTTCTGGATTGAATCCTACTCTACTAAATAGTAAATGTGTTTGCCCTGGACGGATGAAATGAAATAAGTATTTGCACACACAGATCTCAGTTTACTTGTCTAGAATGATCACAATTATATAGAATATGCTGCTGAGTGGATTCCTGGCAAATAAGTTGGTCTTGGAGAGTGAGCTTAAAACCTCATCAGAAGGCCGCAGACATATCTGTATCCACTTTCTATTTTCCTGCAGGGGGCTAGCTGACGTGTCCTCCACAATGATATGAGCACTGCTTCATTGTGGAGACATCAATGCTACAAGAGATTTTGCATGTTTTGGCGAAAGGCTTCCATACACTTTCCTTCTTTGTAGCAAAATTTATTAACAAACTAGGGAACTCACGGCTTCGCCGCGTCCAAACCACTGAACCGTTACTTGATTCCGGGACCCCCAAACCACTCCCCAGCTCTTAAACCTTTACATACCCGCAGTAAGAATACTTCAATCAATCCCAACACCAACGCAGGTCCTTTTTGGTCGACCCCTAAGTCAGGACGCCGGATCAGGCAACAGACCATTCCCTCTATACCGACTCGGACAAGATTTTAAAATTGATTATTTCCTGATCCACCTTTGCTATTACGAATTCCCAAGCCCGGAATCGATTCAACATCGCGATTCTTATCATTAAGCACCCGATCACTTATCCGTAAGCATTCGACCTTCCTCAAGCCTATTCCTTTACTTCTTTCCCCTACACCAGTTACAAAACACTAATCAACTCCAGTTACTTGACCTTAACCTTATACTATCGATCCGAACCATGTTTCACTGGGATCTGTCCCTTAGATCTTTTACTTTTGTAGCTGATCCACCTCGCCTCGGGCCCAATAACCTATACAGGGTATACAATTCAACTCCTTGGCATTCGACCGTTGGAATTATTGCACCGATCTACAAAACCAAAATAAACATCTCTACTCCGGCTCCAATGGAATCGCCTCCTACAAACAAATCGTGGTTAATGTTTGAAGGTCCTATCACCGGTATTACCGCTGATGGCGGGATCAACATTAAAACCACTTCCTCGAGTTACCACTCACTGATTCCACACTCCTTCTTACAGTCTGACATTGAGATTTGTGGCCACGTGATCATGGGTTCATTTGAAGGGGACTTTTCCTTTTCCGCTGCCACTTATACTGTACCTGTAAGCATACCTCATTAGCAGACACTGAATCATGGCCTAATTCATTTCATTACAGGACCTTGTCCTAGTCTTGAAATCAGACGAACCGCTCGTCAGAAAGCAAATGTACGAGACAGCTCCTGGACAAGCGATGTGGATCAGTGGGAAACTCATCAAAAACCAAGCCCTTTCTTTTGAAGTCAAGGTTAGTCGCTGGCTTATGTTACTAAATCTATGGCTTGTTACTAATACCCTTTGTTAGGTCATGAGAGTCGTCTCCGATACTACTCTCTCAAATCAATGACCTTTGTCCAATACCGAGGTCTCCTGCCCCTCACATACCTAGGAAATTACAACCAACTTCCAAAATGTCGTCAACATTGATGTTTGACTCAACTGGGATTTTCCTTGGACATGTATCGTTTCCTTCATGATGTACTTTTCTCGTTATCTTGTTGTATTCTCTTGTGATACACAAATCCTTCCCTTGGTCCTCAATCCATCCTTTTCGCCTTTTCCGGCAAAGTCCCTGTATTCAGCTTCACATTGTTAAAATTATTGCCACGATCAATGGAATATATAAACAGGAGCACAGGATCTATTGTATTTGTATGACAAAAACAACATCTATTGGTATTATTTCTCGAGATGGATTTGAAATAGTGTTACAATTTATCTTAGTTGTTGAGGGTACCCACACAAGCCTCTTGAATGACATCCAAATTTACTACGTTAGTAGTGACTGGAACCTTAGCTCCAGACTCCAGTATACCCAACATGATACCGTCTGATTGTGTCGCTCTCGACAAAGCCACATATAACTGACCATGAGAAAAGACTGGAGACGGCAGATAAATTCCGACACGATCCAAAGTCTGACCCTGAGACTTGTTTATAGTCATTGCGAATGCCGGTACGACTGGGAATTGACATCGGGAGAATTTGGTTCCGAAACCTTCATCAGGTTCATGAATTAGGATCAATTTGGGGATCAGAACATCCTCCCCCTTGGTAGGGCCAGTGATAACTCGACATTTCAGAACACATGGTTGGATTCCTATAACTAAAAGTCTCGTCCCGTTACGTAGTCCGGATCCGATGTCGAAATTTCTTAAGCACACAACTGGCATTCCTTCTTTCAACCTCAACACCGGTAATGAGAACCCCGGGACCTTTACTTTCTTCAAGATTTCGGACCCGACAGTTTCTTCGCAGTCACTAATAACTTGATCAACGGCGTGTGCTTCGACTTGTCTTCCAGGCAGCAGATTAAGACATGTATCATTCAAAATATCTACATTCCGGTTCAGAGGTGTGAGTAGGCACCGTTGTAGAAAAAAGTCAACTAAGTCCTGATCAAAACCGGGGCCGAGAATTCGTCTCAAATTTCCGTATACATGCTTGATCAGATTCGTAATCAAATGTTTATAATGGGGGTTTGAATCCACCTTGACCTTCGCCATGGAAACCAATTCTGAACATCTTGTCATTCCTGTTCCTGAACCGATTCCCAGGAGCCAATCCGCAAAAAAATCTTTTGATTGAAAGGCAGAGTTATTGGGTCCGGGTTCTTGAGATAGTCGCAAGTTCTTGGATAAGCGCATGGTTTTAATGCAGCTCCACATACTGGATCCAATCAATGAAGCAGACCCTTGACTAAATATGTCCCCATGTCGAACAACTGGTAATGTCTGCCGAAAATCACCCCCGAAGATTACAAGAACACCACCAAACAGGGAATCGATCTTCCTCAGGTCTTGAAACGACCGGTCAACCATTTCAATGGCATGGCGATGGGTCATTGTTATTTCATCCCATATCAGTACCTCCAACGATTTTAGCTGGGAACCTAATAATGTATCGGGATCCCATTTTCCCATGGTCTGAGAGTTGACGTTTAACGGAATCTTCAGTTTGGAGTGCGCTGTGCCTCCTCCGTCAAGCATTAGAGCCGCAACTCCCGAGGAGGCAGTCACTAATGCCTTGACTCCGCTCCTTTTGAAATGACTGATCAAAGTATTAAGCAAATACGTCTTTCCACAACCCGCAGGACCATCAATGAATATTGGACTACTTGAGCCTGAAGACTGACGTAGAACTATCTCTTTGAACAATTGGGCTTGTTCCTGGGTCAAGAGTTCAGTCCTGTGAACGTCAGGCTGTAGTGTCATGTTTCCGACCCTAGGAACTTGGGACCTGAACCGTGGCCAAAGATCCTGATCCACCGGAGGAAGGCCCAGATCTAGCCATGATTTGCCTTCTTCCTGCAGTTGTCTGTCGATGAGATAATAGCCCAAGCCAGCGATTGTAGACGGTGTGATTTCAAGGTCCGGATAGCAAGTTTGGAGTTTGTATTTGCAATCATCGCTGAGTTCGTCGGAGAATTTCCTTAGCAAAGATCCTGGGTTCGCCGGCGGGCTGTGAATCAACAGCAACACAAACATTGACCGGAGCCTGGTACCGGTCATCCATGAAGACGCTTCAGCCATACACATTTCATAATGCATGTCGGTTACCAATAAACCACGGTCCTCGGCCGCTTCCCGGAATGAGCCCTTTGTAGATCCACCCACGGTTTTTAAATCGTTGAATCCCTCAGAGCCTTTCACATTGAGCAGTAAAGTTCGGAGATAGTACCTTTCGCCTTCAGTTGGAGTTGCAAAGTATAGTCGTCCGATCGTGTCACTTGGCTTTTCACGCGCTCTCCACTCCTTGTTTTTGTACCAGTAGAAGTGTGTCGGAATTTCTTGATATAGTAAATCTCGTGCCCGCTTCATATAGCCCATGGCGTCGGTCCTATTTAATTTGAAGTATTCTGTTAGGGTTGTGAGTTCTGCAACACCAGACTCCATTTTTGCTAATGCGCCTTCTTTGTCCCGGAAATAAATAGTCTGTTGATCCGGTAAATGAAGAGCAAGGCGCTGAATAGCAGGATACCGTGAGTTCATCGGAAATTGCAACAGCCTATGAACAGCTAGAAAAGATCCCAATGTTAAATACATACTGCGTTATTATGGTATTATTACTCACCTTCACAGGGCCCTATGAATCTGCCGTGAACGAATTTAGCAATCTCATCGCCCTTCTTAAGTTCAAGTGCTGAGCGATCGATTCCTTTACATATATATTTGAACAAGTATTTGGTAGCATTTATCCCGTAAGCAATTTCGATGTTAATGTGACATTGATACTTCAATAATAATAACTTGTTGTAGGGAACGATGTATCGATTGTCAAACTTATGTCCCGCCTTTTCAATGAAGAAATCACGGTTCCGTCGCCTGTACAATGGATAAGCGTCATCGGGTAGCTCAGTGGTTTCCTGGTATGGTTTTGGAAATCCCTTTGAACAGACACCATTGACAAGGCACCGGTCTCTGGTACAGGGCCCATGAACCATGGTCTGGCCCACCAACCGAAACAGGTCCGGTTCCTTTACTGGGTCTGGGACTTCGGCTGTAACCAGTAGGTCTATTGCTTCACCAGTTCTTGGAACGTGACTCGGATGGAGGAATAACATGATGTGACAATGGGGCAGGCCTCGTTTCTGAAACTCGATTACTGAAACGTGCGCAACGACTCGGCCGAGAACATGATTCTGCGTCAAATCGGTGATCAGTTCCTCCTTGTGCAACTGGAATACTCGTGTTACTATGTCAGGTCTATCTGAGGCGGAGAATCCTGGCGGTAGAGCTGACAAGATGTCCTGGCATTGGGGATTCGCTGTCATCGTTATAAAGAGTGATGGTTTTCCGTACTGTTAGACGATAGCCATAGAGTCCTGGTATAATTGTATCATATGTCTAGGCGACCCAACGAATGATGAAGGAAGGATTACTTTTAATCCTTGTGGATCTGCTGAATTCCGCAGAGCTTCCCGAACCCCTTGATAAACTTGGGCCTTAATTTTCCCCTGGTTCTTTTTGAAGTAGTTTAACCGATTCCTTTCTACACAGAAATATAGATCATCGACAAGTTCTTGCAAAAGGGTCCTGGAACACAGTATATAATTAAAACGATCCGGGTTGGTAAACAGAATTGACGCGTACCACTCGACCTGTGTAATTTTTTGACCTGGAGAACGGTTCAGCAACCATTTGTCGTGGTACAGATTCTCAGAAACTTACTCCGGCGGGCAGAGGTTGGCGGCAACCCAGAGACCCATCCACCTTGACCAGAAGGGAATAGTATTGGGTATCGTAGTGGCAAGTAAGCAGTGTGTTCATCGGTCACATGCTCAATTTGGCCAGTTTTGCGATGAAGGACCAGATCCCTTACACCAATAGTTCCATCTTGACCGTCTTGAATGACCATTCCAATTTCCTCTACTGTAGGTTTATTATAGGTATTCGGGTTAAATGCAGCTGATTCGATATTACGAAAGACATATTGGTTATTTTCTGATTCAGAATCCGTGTGTCTCACACGTCGATAAAATTGCGAGTAGGGGTTTGTTTTATCTAGTTCTGTTTGGAGTTGATAAAGTAGGTCGCTATTTAGATGTCCTCCAGAAACTTTAGCCCGATGTTCGGCCTCCTTAATGTCAGAGTTGCCTATAACCCAAATTTGGGCAAATCCTGAGCTGTTGAGCGTGGAACTTCGAAGTGAACGTATATTATGATAAAGGTTGCCTTGAATGCGGAATGTATAGATACCACGCTGGCCCTGCGTAGAGCGGTCGATTGTAACACCGAGAGAAGTAAAAGATAGAGCGTTGTTGTAATTTCGAATGTGGCGCTGGAACTGTTTTGAAACTATAAAGACAGTCAGGATACTGATTCGAGGACATTAGAAATGGATTACATCACATACTGGCGTCATCTGAGGTGAGTAATTTTTGAAGAATTGGGGGAAATGACCGGTTATAGTGAACTGGAATCAGGGAGGCTCCCTTTTGACAACACACAGAGAAAGAAGCGGCTACCTTCTTGAGTTCTGCTTTACTTCTTTCTTTTTTCCAGTGTAAAGAACCACACGAAGCGCAACGGTCGTCGCATCGTCCAATAGTAAAAGGTATCTGGTCGGAGAAATGCTCCAAGATATATGACTCACAGTTCTTGTTAGAGGATGTGATTAGGGCCATTGCCAAGTGGCTTGGGAGAAAGTACTGTACAAATTTCAAGCGGATGGTAGTGGCTCGCGGGTCTTATTAATGTAGAGGTTCGAAAAAAGGAAATCGGTTGATTACTAAGAGTTGGCTCAGTTGAACTGGCCGGTTGACAGGTGAATGGATTGCCGGCCGGAATTGGAATATAGTAATAGTTGGCTGATGTAGGTACTTGTTGCCTTTTGCGTCACAGGTGACGAGATCGAGTTAATTTAGACTCATGGTGCCACCTTTGCATGTACAGACCACCTGAACCAACCCTTTTAACGTGAATTGACATCATAGTGAAGGTGCAATGGTCAAGTATCACTTACGGTCCAAGAATTGTGTAGATACGGGATGCGTCTAAGAAACTCCGGTGACTAACTTTATTGGTTGGACAGATGATGGGTAGTATTACTTGTTATGGTAGCAAGGTTACAAAGTTTGCAAAGCCACTTGTTTTAAAGTAAGTATTCAAAGTTACATGATAAAGTTTCAGAACATAGAAACAGGAATTTAGACGAAAAGCTCTATAAAATTACATGATTTAGATTCTGGAAATGTAAGAATAGATGCATATACGACAAGTAACTAATCCTAACCTGATCAAGCACTGTTGCCGGGCGTATTTGCGGTGACAGGGTCTGGTTTTGTTTTTCTATTGTATCGTTTCTTTGGGGCCAAGACTGCATCCAGACGACCGGGAACGGAAGTTGGATTCTCAGTCACATCGGAAACGGTGTTGGACTCAGTAGTGGAGTTAGTAGGTAACTGGCTCTCGGACCCCTCTTCATCATCACTATCGAAGGTGATTCTAAAGTTTAAGTGTTTGTGTAAGTTGGACGTATTAAAGGGGCTTGAAACTGAACTTGGGAACTGACTGATAACGCTTGCGTGGGTTGACCAACGGGGTGTCTGAACCGGGTCCTAAGAGATTTGTTGGGTCAGGGCCTGATGAAAGAGAAACGGAAAGAGCCTGTTGAAGACAACCAAGTCAGTAACTGGGTAAGATCAGATCTAGTGAATATAAATAGTTACCTGAACTCGAAACATTTTTTCATTCTTATCGTAACCGCTGAGAATTCCTGACAGTAACATTTCACGACCGATTTGGAATAGGCCGAAGGTCTTGGCAAGGTTTCGATTACCCGGTATTTTGTATAGGACATTGAAGGAAACCTGGTCTTTGGACTATGAATTGATGTGGAGATCATCAGTCTGTGCCGAGTATAGTTCATTGAAATGAGAAAAAAAGTAATATACTTGATTGTCATAGTCCGTGTGTCTCATGACAACGAACAAGCTGCGAAAAGTGTTCTGTCCTAAGGCGGAATCGTCTCGTTCTTGCTTGCTAATAACGATACCGTAACCCCAAACAGCAGTTTTGTTGCATAGAGATACTGGGAGTGATTCACTCGGACCCATAGGAAAAGTGAGATCTTGTTCGTAATATAAGACAGGTGGAGTCTTCAAATTGGGGCATATGAGGCGGCCAGACAACATATAAGTATTGTCCCGAGTTAGAGTCATGGAAGCGGAACCATAACCGAGAAGGAGGACCTTCAAGTTGATTTCCTGGCCTGTTGCAGGATCGTTGAACGCGACACCGGAGTCGGCGGGGAGCTGACCATAGGTTGACCCGTTGGAGATGACAGGTGTTTTCTACAGATTGAGGAATCATTTGTTAGATATACTGGGTATCAGCAATTTATGACGTCATGGTTATGGGAATGGGATCAACGAACGGGACTGGTGATGTCAAATGGACCGCGAGTGAAGAAGGGATGGCTTTGTTTTTTGAGGGTAGAGACAGCGGGCGCCATGTCGAAACTTGGATGTTGTGAGGGTTTATGAGGATGATACGATTGACTTTGGGAGAGGCAATGATGGGCAAATGATTCCAAGATGGTGGGTTTAAGAACAGGAATGTGTAGCAGTGAACAAGAGATGGAAATTTGAGGTAAGGGCCATGAGTGTGAGAGCTGGGAAAGTATCCAGTTGAGTAATCGGAAAAATTGATTCGGAAAAGGTTTTTAATTAGAGTCGGTAACTGGAAATGTAAATCGGATCATGCGGTGTGATCCGGGTCAGATTCATTGTTCTCGAGCAAATGTCGGAATCGGATATCGGATGAGAGATCAGTCGGTCTCAAGTCTGATTCATTGTTCTCGAGGAAATATCGGGATCGGAAATCGAATGAGAGATCAATGGGAGTGTATAAGATAATCGGAGGGATGTAAGGAATAGTAATGTGAGAACTCGGGATCCGGGGACAAAAAAAAGATTGTTTGCGGCGATGCGTGGAACGAGCAGGGCGGGGGCTGGGTTCGGAATAGGTAAATGTTGTGTAACCTGTCGAGAGAACATGACTGGTAAGAGTCCGGGAGTTTTAATGCTGGGTGGGTTGAGAAAGAAGATTTAGTGGGTTGATGCGTCTAGATCAGATAGCGGTGCCGGTAATGGTAATTAGGAATTAGAGAGGGGGCGGTGTGGGGGATGGTGAGGGCGGCATTGGTTGACTGGTATTATGTTTTTGGCAAGAGGTCGTAGTGTCGAAGATGGTAGATGAGATTGGTGGCGATGTGAATCGGAGGTGATGTGACCAGAGCAGAGGGCCGGTTGCGGTGTGAGGAGCGAGAGATGTGGAGGGGGTAGAAAGAAAGTTTCAGGTATAAAAAGTGGGCATTTTGGGCGTATGTATAGGTATGCAGGGTTGGATCATGAGGTGCTATGTGTAGGGTATTGAACCGTTACCGTTCGTCCCTATACAGCGCTGCTTGAGACAATTGGTCACTGAACAACGGTCCTGATAGCAGAAATGCTGCCCGTTGAATGTGTTGGTCGACGAATTTAACTGTTTTTAATAAGGATATGTAACTATTCCCGCAGATTAGTACAGGAAAACATGTCTTCAAAAATTGAACTTAGCTAGACCTGCGTTCCAACGGATCCGCTCAGATAGCTTAAGATCACGTACTTATAAGGTTGCAGGGAGTGTGTTGAAAAACAGATAGCTTGACAAGACATGTAACCCCCAGAAATATTGCAAGGCTCCTACTTGAAGCTCAACGAAAGCAGATGATGATATTGAGGTTACCTGACATAGCCCCAAACCAACAATCTGACCCGACCCGATGACCCATCGCAAAACTACAGATGAAGCTTTTCTGACATGGCTATCATGCACACAACTCAGCAGAGGAAGCCTTCAAAAGCCGACGACGACATCATGAAACTGGTGGCAGTGAACCAACAGGTTGCCTGAGCTCGTCAGAACAAAACTGTTAAGTGATGCAGTCTCAGAAACTCAACACCTGACAGCGTCTTATAACACATGCACGAGCTGGGCACGAATAGATAGCTATGAGGGGCAAAACACGGTTACCCGCAGATGAATCGTCAACAGTTTTGTTTCTCCACGAAATGTTATGGGCTAATTTATAGTTTCATTCTTTATCAATACTAATCAAGAGTAACTATCAGTCATTGGCACAATTGGCTTTCACTTTACTTTCAAGTTTATCTTTACAAATATTGTGAATAGGATCAGTTGAGTTGAGTTGGTAGTCTCCATCTCACTCTGTTCTGATCATGGCATTATTGTTCCTTGTTATCATAAGAATTGGAAACCATAAACAAAGAGCCTGAAAACAAAGTATTATAAAATGCTTTCATCTTCGCGCAAGTTGAGTCAATTTGAGCATAAATTAAAGAGGCCAATCCTCGTAAGGAAACTGCCTTGGAAATAACCACAGCGGATTAGATCCCTAAGGCCAGGTCGCAATTTAAGAAGAACAACGGTAACATCACTTTGCGTCTGGGAATCATAGAATGAATTGTATTCTTTATCTACTGGTATTGGAACGCTCAACAAGGTAGCTCGCAGTAGCGCGGCAGAATGGCTCTGTCTAATCATCTTTCATCTCACGACATCTGAGCTTTTGATTGAACATTTTTTAGTTGCATCCTAAGGAAACAATTCCAGCCAAGCCTGAATTTTTCTCAGCTTATATGTTTTGACAGGACTTGAAACTGAAGGGGGCACTGCACTCAGAGCCGCAACAGGGGAGCTCAGGAACGTCAAAGGAGACGTTTAAACATGAGATGAAATGGGATTTGTGATTGCATAGGGGGAGAGAGAAGCATAGGGGCATAGGGGGAGGGACTCAGACGCCCCAACAAAGCAAGACCAACAAATCAAAAGCTCTGCGGTGTCTGCCCAATCTGACATGGGTTTGCTGTCGGCGTCTACGAGGAAGAGCAAATGGGGCTCTGCACATCGGACAGTTGAGTTCGCCTTCCAACCATTCCTAGAATGGATCATTGGAATCAGCAATGAGTGTTAAAAGAAAAAGAAAAATAAAAATAAAGGGCTTGCTTACTTGAAGGCAGTTTCGATGGAAGACATGGGTAAGGTGGCAAGGTGCTCGAACATTGCTGTGTCTGATGTTGGAGAGGATTTCCATGCAGATTGGGCATTCTGAGGGGGCACGCCGAGCCGAGCGGGCGGGTGGGTTCTTCATTTGGTCCAACAGGTCTTGAACTCTCTGGGATCTCCGAGCGTTGGAAAAGGCGTGGATAAGAGAGATCCAGTGGTCGATCAGAGCAGTCAAGAGTTGCGCATCGGATTCCTCGCTCGCTTGCAAGATAAGCCGAATTTGAGGCAGATCGCGGAGGAGGTAAGAGTTCTCTCTAGCATCGAGTCTGTCTCGCTGCCGGTTTTGGAAGAGTGTGAGGAAAACTTCCATCATCTTGCGCAAAAAACGGGTCATCTTTGCTTGATCTTGAGGAGCCAGAGTCTGAAAAACCGCTCCAATTTGCGGCTGACAGTTTTTGGTGAGGTCGGTGAGTGGCCGCCACGCTTCCTCAACTGGAAGCCCCTCCATCGGCTCGTCATCATCAGGAAACACTACCGGGTTGGGAATGGGGACGAAGTGGGAAGGAGGAAGAGGAGGAAGAGGAGGAGGTGGAGGAGGAGGAGTTCCTGGGGGAGTGAAGGAGACTTCAGGAAGAG